GATCGATGAGATGATCACGAGCGCAAGCGGCTCATGATAAGTTGACATGGTTGAGTTGCCACAATGGTTTCGTCACAGAGTAATAAGGAGCCTGACCTTGTTTACTCGAGTTTGTTACTGTTGGCTGTTGCAGTCAATACTCCTCCATGGCGACGTGGCGTATCCCATCTTATATCTTCCTTCCTCTACCGCATCTGGAATTAGATGGACCACTCCTCGATAGTGCGAGAGATTTGTGCGGTGTACCACAAGTCTATGTGCGATCAAAGGGGAAGGTGAGACGGTCCGCTTTGCAGAGCGAATTGTGCGTTATTCGATGGTACACTATGAGGTACGACCGCCACGATGACATTCGCCGTTTGGACAGCACACTCCTTCAGAGACTTTTAGTTGCACGTTATTCATAGCATTGAGATTGGCGCAATGTTCTTATGAGGCTGCACCAATCCGAGTGCCGGTGCTAGTTGTGGAGTGTTGTGCGGTTGAACAACAGAGAAATGCATACCCCCAGCTTCACCAACCCAGCCAACAGCAGAGCGAATGCTGGACTCACTTCTCGATATGCTGCAGCTCCAATAAAGCTTCCCAGCAGTAAGGCCAGCACAAATACTCCTCTGCGATTGCGAGGACGGTTGCGGGCTGCAAATAGAGCGCGATCTGTTACCAGGTCGATGTACGCCGATGTCACCATCGCCGTGGTGACTTCAGGCACATCCACCGTACGTGCCATGGCGACTTGTCCCCCGGAAGCGAATGCCAGCAGGCAAATGACAGCGAACCGCGCGGAATTGTCGATATCGGTGGACACCCAGTGTCTGAGCGCTGCTGCAGCAAACACGAACAAGGTCTGCACTATATTGGTGCATAGCAACCATGATCTCTTGGTTCGACCTCTTCGATGACCGAGTTGCCCCAGCAGAGTGCCACCGACGACGAATAAGCCGAGAGAGAAGCCAACATCTCTCAAGTCCACCGTCTCCTGGGCGAGACCCAATGCTCCAACAGCGAGCAAAGCTGTATTGCCCGTCTGATTTGATGCGAAGACACGGTAGTCTGGGAAGGTAGTCGCATCGTTGATGCCGGCTGCAAATGCTAAGAGCATCAATTCCACCTCCAGGAAAGCATCCGGGGCGAGCTGCGCACTCAAGTACGTGGCGATCCTGCTTTTGGTCCGTGGTGTCGATTCTTGTGACGGCAGCACAGAATTGGTTTGATTGCACATCAGCTCGACTAGATGTTAGATGTTGGTTCACATTGCTGGCCCTGAGCTGTGGCAAGACTGCTCAGAAGTGTTGGCCCCCAGCAGCACATCAAGGCTTTCGGGCTCCACTGACTCCAGTACGGGAACCCTCTTCGGCGAGCTCGGGAAGGGAGTGAGTTATACCTCTGAAAGGGGAACTTGGAGAATATCCAGCCAATAACAGAACACACCCACTCGGACCATTGACGCCTAGGAGGATCGGCTGTGCGGGACGAGGGACAAGGGGTCCCGGGGTAGAGCAGCCACGCCGTACCCCAGGATTAGAGCGTCAGCCCAACCGCGGGCATTCTTGACGCGTCGCGCGATGCGATGCACTCTACGTCCTCCCCTCTGTCTCTCCACCTGCAACAATGAACCGCCTCATAAGGCAGACATTTGCAGCATCCAGCAGATCTCGAGTTGCACGGGCGAGCACAGCAGCATCCTCGAAAAGGGAACCTGCTCTTCGATCCACGCCGTGGAGCCAATGTCCACCGCATCAGCATCATCTTGGGTCCTTGGCAGCCGGGACTGCAATCGCCGTCGCGACTGTATCATGGTGGTTCTACTATGGGATCAGCCCCGCCTGGGCTGAAGCTCCGACGGAGGACAAACCGCGACAAATCCGCCTATCCGAAGTTCGCAAACACGGCCGCCGGTCAGAGAAGCGCTGGGTCGTGCGCGGCAACAAGGTGTACGACATTACCGAATGGATCCCCAACCACCCTGGCGGCGAGGTCATTCTGCGCGCGGTCGGCGGCGTCATCGACACGTACTGGGAGATCTTCAGCATTCACAAAAAGCAAGAAGTCTACGACATACTGGAGCAGTACTATATTGGGGACGTCGACCCACGGGATCTGGTGGACGGACGCGTCCCGCAGGACGACATCGAGGATCCCTTTGAGGATGACCCCCAGCGGCACAGCACCTTGAAAGTCCACACCGAGCGGCCCTGCAATGCCGAGTCGCCTGTTGAGGTTCTCGACAAGTTCATCACACCATCGGAGCAGTTCTACGTGCGAAACCACCTCTGGGCTCCAAAGCTCGATCCGAAATCGTATCGCTTGACCATCGAGCTGCCGGACGGGGAAGAGGTCGCCTATAGCCTCGAGGACCTCAAGAAATTCACTCAAGTCGACGTCACGGCCACCTTGCAATGCTCCGGCAACAGAAGAAAGCACATGACCCAAGGCTCCCGCTACGCCAACGGCCTGCAGTGGGGCATCGGCGCGATGAGCAACGCCAACTTCCGCGGCGTGCGGCTCGGGGACATTCTCGCGCACGCGGGCTTCAACGGCATGGCGGAGGACAACGCCGAGGTCAAGCACGTCCAGTTCCAAGGCGCGGAGGCGTACGGGGCGTCGATCCCGCTGGAGAAGGCGCTGAGCCATGACGGCGACGTCCTGCTGGTGCACGAGATGAATGGGCAGCCGCTCCCGCAGGACCATGGCTTTCCGGTGAGGGTCCTCGTGCCCGGCCACGTCGCGGCCCGCAGCGTCAAGTGGCTGAAGCGCATCTCGCTGGCTGAGGAAGAGAGCCAGTCGCAGTGGCAGCAGCGCGACTACAAGTGCTTTGGACCCAACCAGAGCGGGTCGGATGTGGATTGGGCGGCCGCGCCTGCTATTCAGGAGACGCCCGTGCAGAGCGCCATCACGTCCGTCAAGGACTTGCCTAAGGGCGAGCGCCTGCTACAGGTCTACGGCCTCGAGGAGGACTCGATTGAGGTGAAAGGGTATGCGTTCGCTGGGGGCGGAAGGCGGATTGTGCGCGTCGACGTCAGTCCGGATAACGGGCGGTCGTGGACGCAGGCGGAGCTGCTGGAGGACGAGGCGGTGGGCCGCAAGCGGTGGGCTTGGACGCAGTGGAAGCTCGTGGTGCCCCGGCGGCTGGCGGGTGCGAATTTTGTCGTCAAGGCTGTGGATGAGGGCTACAATACGCAGCCGGAGGGTCACGAGGCGTACTACAATTTCAGGGGGAATCTGAGTAGTGCCTGGCATCGTGTTCCTTATATGAACAGGGATCCTTATTGAGGTGGTATGCTTGGTCGGAGTGGGGTCGGCGCTTGGTCGGGTTGGACGTACTCTCGGGTGAAGATTTGGAGTTGTATAGCAGATATGATTCTCGGCGTGGAAGTGAAATCGGAATAAGTTGGTCGGGCAGACGACTGTCCTCAAAGTGATCTCGAGCCATAAATGTATCCCGATCAGAGTCTCAAATTCGCTGCGAAACGCTATAATATCTCGTGAGATGGCTACGTCGCAATCTCAGCTGAAAGACAAACATTCCTCATGCAGATATCGGCCCTCTGTGTCGGGTGTAAGGTGGCAGCTGGTCCACGCCGTCCGGGGGCTGCCCCTCGAGGCAGACAATCTGCTCATCTGCGACATCTACCTGGTTTCGAGGACCGTCGGCCGCCCATGCTGCATCCATAGGAGCGTCATAAGGAGGCGGCAGTCGGAGTGCAGTCTCCAAAGAAGCCGTCATCGGTATCGAAATCGGAATCTCCTTGCGACGAAAAGTGAAATTCTGGCCGGCCGCACGTAGACGCACGGAAAGCTGGAGGCTGTAGGCACGGAAGATGTTGTAGGTGGAGAACTCGGGCACGATGCCGTGCTTGCGCAGAGCCTGTCGCAGGATCGTACCGGTGTGCGTTGCGTCAATGTTGAGATTGCAGCCTGCTGTTGATCCAGCTGAAGCGCCATCTTGGGGGCTGGCCACACCGTGGTGATCCTGCTCGGGTCTGTCATGCGTCAAAGGAACGGTGAAGCTGTCTTCGTAGAGCGATAGCATAGTGGTCCGGATCTGTTGTCGCAGACCTACCCGAGCCATCGTGCAGACAACGAGCTGTATGGAGATTTTCTTGATCAGCAATTGATCTAGATCAGGACGGGTGCCGTCCGCAGAGTTGACCTTGAACACAATGGGGATTGGTGCGGTCTCCCACAAGTGAATGATAGTAGGGAAGACGAGTTCAAGACGGAGTTGGCCTGTTTCACGGCCTAGAGATGGGTGGCATTGTGAGGAATGAGGATGCCGAATTTTAGTCCATATCTGATTCCCTTTGGTTAGGATAGCATCCCACCTGACCGTCTGCGTGGCATCGCGTATGCTAGCCCCTGGTGAAGCAGGTGCTGAGCGTATTATGAGAGTTTTAGTCGCGCTCATGTTGTTGTGTGAAGACAGCAGTGTAAACGGCGGACGAATTAGTCTCGCAACAAGTGTATACTCGACGGCACAGTTCAAGCCAGTGCGATCGAAGCAGACCATTGTAGGCGGGAGAGGGTGATACTCTGCGTCGATAAAACCCTTCCACGGGGACAGACCATCGAAGCAACCATTGCGATCAGCACCATCGTACCCAATGCTGCTGTCGGTGTGCGAGGGAAGCCTGAAGCAGAAAGGCCAGCAGTGATTACCGGGAGATTTCAGTTCTGTGCTGTGGGCCAGAAGGACAGACTTTCTGATCAAAAGAGCCCGAGACGATTGGACTCCAGCAATCTTATGGTGAACCAAGCCGTCGTCTGACTGTGTCAGAGACGCCCGAGTTTGCCCTTGCAGAGTGATGTAGAGCGACTCACATGGGCTGAGATCGCTGTCAGTGTGAAGCCTCACAACTCCACTGATGAGGTCGTTTGGAGCATACGAAGGCCATTCTCTTCCATCCGTTGTTTCAATGAACAGGACCATGGCGTTTCGCGAGCCTATAGAAGAACCAAGATGTACCTTTTCTCGCCAAGGGGACAGGTTGGATGTGAGAAATAGATCTCTTTCGCCAGTCTAAGAGCACAAGATGTCTCAGCATTGGATGAGGCGCCTGATGACACTATAACGTTGGGTCTACTACTTAGGAACCGCGACAGAGATGCTCACCGAGAAGCATACCTCTCAGTTTCAGTACCGGCCAATGACTGAAGGACATGACCCCTGCTGCAGGGCTGTTTCCGAGCTTCCTTTTGATCAAGCCGCGCAGCCGTGCATATATCCCCGCATTCACGGATAAACGGATCCCGGCAACCTTCATCATCTGCTCCTCGCATTTCCAGTGTGTTCAGCAGTATCCAGTGTGCAAGGGCACTGCCGCAGCTCCAAAATCCCCGTCCACCCAGTATGTGATCGGCCCACACCGTCGCTAGTGGTCGAGGTCAGATGTGATACAAGGCGGAAAATTGACTTTCAGCCAGGATGTTTGATCCCGGGGCCGCTATAGGAGGAGTGTTCGGCAGACATGCAAACCCTTGCCGAACTTCGCACAATCAGCGTCAATGCCGTACATCCGACGAAAGGGCCCATCTTCTATATGGCTAGCTTTTAATTTCTTTGGCCCTGTGGCGGGTTGAATATCAGACGTAATTGGACTCACAAGGCTCGACTTGGGCTGTCTCCTCGAGTCCATCATTCACCTCCATCGTTACATGCAGGCCTCGGGCCACTATGGAGCTGACAAGACTGCCATCCACAGCCTCGAGAGATGCCAACAGGGCGGATTCGGCAGTGCTACAGGGGTCGTATCAACAACAGCCGTCAGAAGATGATTCTTCGCTCCCATCATGCTCTCGTCATGACATACCAGCTGCCGCAGAACCCAGTTCCCTGAAGCGGCCGAAGCGGACTCCCAAAACATGGCTTGCAAGTTTTACGACTTTCACAATTCGCCATCCGGGGTCAGCTGTGGTGCGGGATTACTACGGTAAGCTCAGCTACTTGTTGACATATACATACTGATATGTACCTTGTAGCTCTGGAACGCACATGGCTCGCGTACAATCGCACGGCAAATCAGCTTGCAAGCCATGGGTTCGTTGTCGCCCAAGTCCTGTTTCTCCACGGTGGCAAGCATCGGGTCTTAGGAAAGGCATGCTGTGCTGCCATGATTGTCGTTGCAATCTTAGTCACACTACTCGGACTCGTCCGTTATACACGACAGGCTCGTGCCTTAAGTCCCGGTGCGAAGCTCACTGTGGGTGCGTCGCGCGTTTCGGCGACGTCGACTGCTATAACACCAAGCTCGTACGTAATGGTCGCGGGTCTAACGTTTGGAACTGTCTGCGTCATGCTTTTTGTGTGCAATTTGATAGTCGAGTAAGGAGTTCGGGGCCAGACATATCTCTCAGCAGAGTAGTGAGCCAGCTCAGGTGCAAGCTGAGTAGAGCGACGACAATTTGTTCCGCTTCGGCTATTAAAGAGCAAGGCTTGTCCGACGGAGAGATGGCTGGCACCTTATCTGAGGCATCTGCGGCCTCGAGTTGCAAGACTGCGTTAACCTATTTCGGGACTAAACGCCTCGGCATACGCCCACTTTCGGATGCCACGTGACTTAACGATTGCAGTAGCAATTTCATCACCTCCTTTCTTCCTCAGTTTCGCTTTCTTCGATTTGATATATTTGGACTGGGCCGTTTCGCTCTGATTTCTGCTTTGCTGTCTGCATCGGCGCTTGTTTGCGTTTGGGATAAGATAGGTCATGTTGTAACAAAAAGGCTACTCCATGTCAACTACTGTGCAAAAAAGGGCGCAGTGTCGGGTTCTGACTGGCCGTGTATAATCCGGTGTCAGGGGTCCTTAGATCTGGGACACTGCACTCTCTGCATGGTAGGGTGCCACACCATATTTAGGTGCAAACTCATAGCCTTCCCCAGATTAGACCAGTCTGGATCATTCGGGGAAGTGTCCACTGACAATCTAAAATACAAGATATGGTCCCGTTGGTCTTGCAGAATGGGCAGGCCTGCTGTCCTCGTGGTGTCAACATGTGCAGTTCGGTCCACAACCCACGGGGCTGCTGATGCTGTCGATATCTTGCCTAGCCGTTCTTTTATATCGGAGGCCAGGGTGCCTAATCTTCCCAGGGTTGAAGCATGAGATCAGTCGTGGTATGATCAAGGCGGAAGCCTCCGACGCAAGCAGTGGATAGGCACTGGGATCATCTCGAACCGATAATTGGAGTGCCGTTTCCATCCTCGCCATTAACTCTTAACAGTGATATGCCACTTAACTATCTAGGGAGCTCATGGACTAAACAACACTAAAGTGGCAGCCATAGCAGCTTGTGGAACTAGTGATAGTCTTGCCAAGCTTCGATCTGAAGAGTGATCGTCCCCAGAAAATGTACTCCGGTTGAATGTGACAGCGAGTCCGTGGTCTGGTTGCCGGCTAAATTGGTTTACCAGCAGAGGCAAAGATGATGCTGCCCTAAATCGAGCTCGCCCATTCGTTGGGAGACTTCTACCTATGAGACTGCGCAACCAGCGGCCTTGGTCAAAGAGCCAGCCAAGGGCTCAGGAAGATCTTAGCATGCAAGGTGGATTCGATGATGTATGGCTCGGGCAGTGTCATGCGCATTTCAGACATTTTCAGTGCGGTTTCGTTTGTCAGGTTCTGATGTCCACGTCATTCTGGTGGGCTTGCACCACTGTGTTCCACTATATTTCTCACGGAATTTATCGTTTCCGTGGGTACTGTAGCACGTTGCGTATCTGCATTAGAGTAAGAGCAGTGGCGCGTTTGGAAGATGTGATGCATATGTAGAGCGCAAGGCTGAATGGTGTGTTATGTTTCACGGGCTGTGATAGTTGCCGAAATCGGCAAACCAGGTTAGAGCTCGAGTGCTCTATATAAGGGGGAATGAGCTAGACCTAATGTATCAAGAGTAGCCCCATAAACTTGCTCTACTGTGTACAACAGTGTTTACGGCTCCCATTAGTGCCATGCGATGCGAAAGCTCTGTAGCTCTCACACAGTTGCGATATAGCCTCTAGCTTGAATCATAGGTTACGACCAGACTGAGCGATCCGATCTGAAACGGGCTAATTTCACAGTCAAGTGCTGATTGGCCCATCATGGGTGTTTGTCGACCAGTGATCAGCTCTTGATGAGATACACGATCTGAGCTTCATGGTACTCCGTATACTCCTGGTAAAGACATGTGGCACGATATGAAAGGCTAATCGATGGGCCTGTCGAAATCTAATCCTGTCCTTGAAGGTCACTGTAGCCCTGCCAAGCCTCACGCCTGGATGGTATTAGCGCGGCAGCGCACTCTATAAAGCCTGGCACGCCCCGCTGAAGCAGCCTTGTCCCGTTGTTTTCTCCTCTCTATGACCGACTAGAGGGACTGCGTATCGTCAGCTGGATGTTCCCTTAACCCGCGCCCTTAGCGCTCTTTTCTCATTTTCCCTCCCTCCGCCCAAACGACTCATGCACGACATTCCGCCTGCTGTGTCATGTCCCCTGAAGCCTTCGAGGATAGCTATGGCCACTGCCTCCAGAACCGCCAACATCTGACTGAAAGCGAGAAGTGCCTGCGTCGAGACTCTAGACACATTTACGCATGCCCATGACACTCAACCTCAAGCTGTTTGCTGTGACAGAATACCAGTCTTTCCCGTCCCACCCAACCTCGATCGACGCCTTCCACAGACGTGATTGTGCTCTCGACTCCTGCATCCTATCGGCCATTGCCTGGGCTGGTCAAGCGGGAAGAGTGACGCATGGATCATCGCCATTAGTCCCACAATACCTCGTCCTGGGCGTGCTTGAGACCAGAAGAAGGAGCAGTGCACATCCCCTAAGAACGAGCCCAGCGCTGCATCTACCGCTTCCAATCAGAAAACGGCTCATGGCTAGACAACAGCAAGTGTGCCTTGCTGCCTGCGATGGATGCGTCTCTGCCTTGTCATAGCGTGCTGAACACAAGAAGAAAGGGCTCGCCCATGACCGTGTCATCAGCGCTTATTTGGGTCACTCGGCGGTGCTGCTGGGATGAGATGTATGCCTGGCGCCACGCGCGTTGTGTGACCTGGGTGCCCAAAGAACTCTAGACCATGATTGATCCCAGCTGCTGGATCGTGGCATCCGGCATCTCGATAGCGGGCGCCGTGTGGTCCAGAAAGTCCCTCGTGTGGGCACACTCGGCGAGGCGTGCATGCGACAGGCAAGAGCGTCCGGATCATATGAGGACGACGGACCAGACGAGTAGCGAGCCAGGAGCCCAGCGCAAGGTCTGGCACGGACTCGAGGAATAAGTTGAATCCGTTCTGACTGACGATATCCGACATACACACCGCAGTCAGCCCTCTCGAGGAAGAAACGCCATCCTACTGCTACGGCCTCTACGCCGATCCGCGCTGTCGAAGCGAAGAGTAAATCGCAATCGTGTCAATTCACTCAGTCTGTCGCGGAACTACGACTTCAAGGGGGCACCACCGAAGCCAGCCCGGCCTCGTACGCGGGCCAGTCTCTGGGCGAGACTGCAGAAGTAGACATATCACTGATGACAAGAAACATGATGACGACGGTTGTGTCCTGGGCGGTCAGAAGAATGTGATGAGAATGCTTCGTCGCAGCTGCCTCGGGATCCCTGTCCACGGCCCATCTCGTCCATGGTCTGGCAAAGGTTATGGTAAGGAAGATCCGGCACGCTGAATACTCCACAGGGACCAGTGCGATCAGGTTGCGTTGGTTTCATTAGCATCCCAGCTTTTCTCATTTTGTCCAGCAGCGACAGCGCAAGGCAGACTCAGTACCATTGCTGGAGTGCAGTCTAGGGCTATAAGTCTGGCCGTGCCCACTCAGCACTTCTTCATCCTCATCCTCACTCTTTAGTCGGATCGTGGTTTCTACTGCGCCGTCATCGCTGCTCGTCATGCCCACCGTCTCTATCAAAGAGAGAGCTCACGCCAACTAGGCTCTCGCCAGGTCGCAGCTGCGCATGTTGCGAAGCCGTGCCGCCCAAACCGCGTCCCAATGTCATGTTCCCCATTTCGAGTCTCGAAGCATACCAATAACAAGAAGCGACATCCACATTTCAAGCAGCTCGAGACTCCGGCAGGAAGCTACTGTGATGGCCCTCAACGACAGCTCCGCAATGCCCCGCGATTGTGTGAAGAGGCTGGCATAAATCATGTCGTCAGTATAGCAGGTTTGTGATTCCTTTGATGTTCCGAGACAGCAATTGACGAAAAGAGCATGACAGACACGACACTGGGATTCCCGAATCGGACACCAGGCAATCAGCAACAGGTACACTGGCCCTGTCATCCACAATGCTCAATCAGCCCCCTGTGGTAGCAGATGCCAACCGGCTGAGCCTAATGCCTGGATCAGGAAGCGACCGGGATGGACCAATTAATGCACAGAAGAACTTCCCCACCAGTTTCGAAGACTTCGGGCTCCCTCCTAATCAAATGTGGGACCACAACGCGACATATGACCGCAGGTTCTGTTTCGGCCATGGTGAAACCGAGGACCTTCTCGGGACTGCCAATAGATGGATGTCACCCGGTGACTTCGATATCGCAGATGCTGCGGCACTGTTGGAGATCGGACTGCGAAGGCACAAGGATGACTCTCTGGATTTCAAACCGCATTTGCGAAAATGCCAAGCTGAATGCTTCGGCAGTCTCTGGTCCCACATATACAATGTCCTCGATCGGTGCGAACACGAAGGTCCTAGCTTATATCTGGTCCAGTGGAAAGTTTGCTGGACTCCTGAGAGCAATATTGATGACAAGGCGTGGGTTGTAGCGTCGCTGAAGGCCAATCAGAACCAACACAATCGACGCAGCATGCGTCTGGAGGACAGCTTTGAAGCTAGAAAGAAGGGGTTTGACAAGATGATGTCGGTTGTGAACCTGGAGTAATGACAAAGATTGAACAAGACATTCGGCGATGTGCGAGATCAGCTGGACAAGTGCAGCGTCCAAACTCACGATGACAGAGATAAGGATTTACTTTTTGGCTTGTGCTTATTCTACTCCTAGATAATAGCCTATAGCCCACAGGGCTGCACGTTTGAGGGACCCAGAATCTAGGTGTTTGTATCAGCCAGGCCGCAAACAGCTCCCGTCAACTCCCAAGACAGATAGTACAATGTATTTGCGTCTCTTTGGACTGGATTTGGAACAATCACGTTCACGGGTGCACGCTATACGGATTCATTTGAGCTGAGTATACTTGAAAACACAGCGGAAACTCTCCTTGACTGCTGTCTGCCAACATGGGTTTCAATCCTAGAGCTGTGGACAGCGATCTTACACTTCGGCGTTCAGAGGACCACTCCAACTACGGCGTCATTGGTGGCCAGTCTTCCTCACGCGAGGTCCGCACATCTTTAGAGTGTCACACACAGCACAATTCTATCTAGCTCTTTATTTGAGAGATGGTATCTTAACTATCTGAGTACTACCTGAAGCCTATCCACCATTCTCACCTTATCTTTTGCCTCAGTGTGGCGGCGGTTGATAGTCAAGCTCGGAGAGATGGACCCCGTTACCCAGAAAGTCTTTCATCAGATATCGCAGCTCATCCCGGGTGTCATTGACAGCAGAGACTGTAGAAATCATCAACATACTTTCAGCTTCTTGCTTTGCGTGACTCACCAGTGACGAGTATCTCGCTGCTTCTCTCGATCTCAATCTCGGGTCCAGCGTCAACAAACCTCTGAGGAAGCCAGTCTCCGGACTGGATCGGTTTCTTGACAGAATGACGTCCTGCCAGTTCGAATTGGAGAATGTCTTGCAGCGGTGCCTTGCCTGAATACAAGTTGGCGCGTTTTCCGAACGATTTGGCGTGAACAGTGTTCGATTGGCAATAGATTGAGATAGCGAGGATCTAGGTGTATTGGTTAAAGCATTGCCAATACCGAGGACAGTGGTACATACCCAGCCATTATCAAGTGTATCTTCAGTCAAAGCCTCGTTGAGCAGCGCTTGCGCTGCAATGGTAACATCTAATGACGCTGTATCAGTCGATAATCCGAGTCTCAAATTTCAACGACTTACCGAGATCCTGGATTTGCCAAACTAGATGGACTCGACGTGCCTCCAGCTGACGGGCATTATAACCGTGAATGAGTCGCTTTAGATAGGGTAACTGTGCGGCGATCCCAAAGTCGCTAGCGATCATCAGGACACTTCCATAGCCATCTATGCAAACACTCTTCCCGTGCGGTCCGCTGAATAGCACAGGCGAATGCTCCGCTCGACCATGTTGTGCATGATATAAAAGCTCCCTAGTCAAACCACGACGAGGCTCGATGAAGAGCTCCAGATAGTCCTGTGGCTGTTCAGCCCAGGAGATCACCACAAATGGATGTGCTTGAAGAAAGGACCAGAAGCTGACCGAAGGCATCCATAGATTTATGTATTGCCCTGCTTTGATTTCAAGAGGCTTTTGGCATTGAATGCGGATCCTGATAGCGCCGTGTGCATGCGTGACGTGGGCCCGTGCGTGGCCAGATTGGAAAATACCGGTTCGACGGATAATGATGCCGGCCTGGACAGTGCACAGCAACAGATATAACCCTACCACAATGTATAAACAGTACCGGGGATAAGTCTTGTCGAGTGGTAGATGTCGCCATACAGAAAATATGGTAAGCACTGACAAAGCACGATGCGTCCATAGAAAGCATTCGTAAGAAGGTCTGCGACAAATCCGAATTGAAAGGAGAGCAACGAAACCCAGCGATGAGGCTCCCTACATTGACGGTTAGCGGAGCGACATGATGCAGCGTCTCAGAACTCACAATAACCGCGAAAAGGTTCTCGGGCAGATCGAGATCAAAGGATGCTCGCAAAGCGATGGCTACCGTTGTGTGGAATAATGCAAGCACAACAGCCATCACCGCGGCCGATCGATGAACTTGCCGAACGGTGCCGAGATTGACGCCCAGTAGATCTGCTAGCAAGCTGAGATGAGAGGCCACAAATACTACGATTAGGTTGACGATGCAGAGCTGCCCGGCTCGAAGACCTGCCCGCGGGAGAGTAGAAATATGGGGTTTGGCGCTAGACACTCTCACGACGATGCAAGTCAGGTTTGTAGCGATGTATGTCGTCTGAAGCACGATGCCAGCTCGACTCCACGGACCTGCCAGCCGATGCCGCTGCAGAGTATACCGATGGACCATATGCTTCGACATGACAGAGGATACGTATCTAATGATGCGGACGGCGTGAGGCATTCCGGCCAAAATCATGAATGAAAAGAAGACACTGCCGACAACAATCGCGTATATGTAGTTTAAATCCATGACAACGAGCCGTCGAGATTCTCCGAGAGCGTGAACCAAGGATCGGATGTGCAAGCGTAGGAGAATACACAACACACCAGGAGGAAGAGAGAAAGAGAGGAAGAGAGGAAGAGAGGAAGAGAGGAAGAGAGGAAGAGAGGAAGAGAGGAAGAGAGGAAGAGAGGAAGAGAGGAAGAGAGGAAGAGAG